TAAGAATAAGTCATATTCTAAATAAATAAAAATGGATTGTAACTAATTGATGATAATAATTTTTGCAGGCCTCGCCATGTGTTGAATCGTGCTGCATCTGTTCCGGATTCTCCATCAGTTTATAGTTCATCATTATCTCATTCCCCTGGATTAAGAAATCCATCTATTAGCAATGTTACTGTAATAGAAGTAAGTGCTAATCATCCAGTCTCTCACTCTGCACTTCCTTTTGATTCTGGTGATGTTTTCAACTTCAATCTGTTAGATGAAGCTCTTCAGCCAGTGGCAAATGGTTCAACAGAAAGTCATGAAGAACCTCTCCCAGTTGGGTCTATTGTTACTGATGACCTTAGTGTACTTCCTGGGCCATCCAGAACTACTGACAGTCATAATATGTCATCAGTAACAATAAGTAATGACACTTACAGTTGTGATAGCAGTGGTAGTAGTAACAGTAGCAGCAGCATTAATAGTATTAGTAGCAGTAGGCAGGAAGAAAATAGTGTTAATAGTCATGCCAGTGTGAATTGTGCATTAAGTAGCTCCCTTCAAGATGTTAGTGAGGTATTGAGTCATTATGAATGTGTTTTCCTACCTACACATTCTCCTTCTTCAAGTCAAGAAGTTGGAGCAAGCAGAGCACTTAATGTTCCTCCCAGGTTTAAATCTAGTGAAACAAATGTAAGTTCTTCTGCATCAAGAACTACAGGGGCAGCTACACCACCTCTTGTAAGTCAGCAAAGTTCCGCCCAATCTTCCATGCAAACTTCTCAACAGGGATCCACCTCTGTTGAGTCGCCTACAGTTGGTGCTTCTCAACGGCGGCGAAGCAGAAGTACCTCAGCATCAGAAGGAAGTTCCCCTCGGGTGTCTGCTAATTTAGCCGACAGAAACAGGGGTGCATCTGGATCTGCAAGTGGAGTGGCAAGAACTGAAGGAGAAAGACGCTTGCAGCCTGCACCACATCCCTATCGGCACCTCGGTGCAATGTTCAGTGCTGACAGTGTGAACGTTGGGCGATTGACATTGAGAGAACAGCAAGTTATGCAGTTGCGTCGAGAAATGCTGCATCCTGGTGGTGTGCGGCTGCAGTTGCGGAGAAAGGATTGCACGAATTCAATTGCTTTAGTAGATGCATTTGGTGCTGTGTGGTGAGTATTTTGCCCTTACATTTAATCTTTACATCCGTAGGGCCATTCTGTGTGGTAGTGTTCAAAGGTAGAATGAAGAGGGTGGGCATATACCTGCATATATATTTCGGCATAAAAATGTGTTGGTTTTTCAAGGTATTTTGTAAATCACAATGGCAAAAGGCTGGAGCCTTGCCGCTCCAGAGAACATGGAATTATGTGAGCAGAGAGAGTCGACAATTCTACAAGTATTTTGGCATAAATTCACTAGTTTTGCAATTTCTAGAGTGAAGGTTACCTTTCGGAAGACAAAAGACATCTACAGTAATATAAACACAGTAATGTGCAATGTTGAGCCAAGTGATATGATCCTACTGAAGAAAAGACACAATGGCTGAAATGTATTATACAGTACAACCTAAGGAAGTCGTTTAAACCGGCACTTTGTGCCGTTCCAGCGTTAACTAGGCAGTAGGAATTCTGGAGGCTCTCTTGAAAAGTGATGACTTATAAAAGTGAATTGGTAATTATGCATTGGATAGACTCGAGGATGTTTATAGTGAACGCGAGGGCCGAAGGTCCAAGCCTCACCATGACTAGGATCCGGGCGAGCAAAGCGAGAAAACTTATCTTTGAAAGTAAATTGGCGTTACAATGCGGCGGGGACAAAGCATATGAAGGGTGAACCATGAAAATCGGCTATCCGTAAGTTTTATTCATTTCTATTAGAGTACGTACAGTAATTAGGGCTTAAGCCCCACTGCCACGCTTCTCTAATGGTGTTCCGTATACTAAATTTTAACCGACACAATAAGACTTATTAGATTGTTTCAAACAGTACTTATAATATGGTAATGACCAACATTAAAATTATTATTTTCAAAATAATTCTAATAAATTAATTAGTAACTTTTAAAAAAAATTCTAATAATAAACATAGATTTTTGAAATTATATGTGATCAGTTAACATTATTTAGTATGAGTATTTACCTGCATCGATTACATGCTTATTTTAATGGTAGAGTTTTTATTGCTTTCGCAAGTATCTGCCAGTTTCATAATTAAAACAAACCTATTTTCTCATGACTTTGTACTTTTGTTGACGTGGAATATGTTGTGTGTGCAGGGTTGCAGGCTGGAAGCAAAAGGAGCATCCGATGCTGTACAATGCTCTTCACATAGGAGATCACCTTGTGAGCACGGGAGGTGTTCCTGTTCAGAATGCAAGTGATGCACAGAAATTGATTCGAGGAACTTCAAGCCTTTATGTAAGACCCTAATTTATAAATGAATCATTATTATTTCATTAGACATAATGAAAATGTTGTGGGTGTTGTTGTGACTTGACGTTAAAATTATGACAAATTCTAACCCATGGTTAGAAACATCATGCACGTGTTATTGTTTGTATCTTGTGTTGTCTTTCCAGCTATTTCTGAAATTTCGTTGGAAAATAGCTCTGTAATGGATAGAATAAATTAATAAATTCCTTGTAAATGGTGATACTTCTCCTCCTACAACCTTGTCATACTTACCTCGTTAAGCAAAATAATAAAAACTGAATAAATGATATTGCTTTTTGTGAGGAGTTATACAACAACTAAATTTCAGTGTAGAATTGTTTCACTTGCATGAATAAGATAATGTAGTCAAGAGTTCTTTGCATCTCTGCAATTTAGTATTTAATGCATGCAAGAAAATGATTAATTAAAGAGATTCCCCTTTTGCGTGCATTATGCATCTGGTTTATAATGTTCAGCTATATTGCGTAAGTACATGTTTTGAAAACTAGTAACAATGGAGTTTTTGAATTTGTCCGAATGCAATAAAGCAACATAAACGAGTTGCATACAGTATTTTTGTGTGTAACTGCATTATATATTTATAAAAGGAAACAAATTTCAAAGGCAGTTTTGCTGTTGGCAACTTAAGATATTAATATTAGGATGTCACTCAAGGAGCACAGGCAGGAAGAACAAGTAGGGAGATTAATTGGGATAGGTGTGTCCAGAGAAACCCATGGGCTGTTGATTATTATTTAAAACAAAACCTTTCCTCCTTCCTCCATTCGTAAACAGAATTCATTTCTCCCTGTATTAGAAATAATGTATAGCGTTAAATTTGGTTTAGGGATGTATATATTTTTCATTTCTTTTGTATGGAAAAAAGTCGGGGCCCTCGATTAAGTCAGGTCCTGGGGCAAGCTGCCCCCCCTCTCTCCCCCAAACCATCTTCTGGGATGCTCCTAGGATGGGAATGATGTGTTGAGCTATAAAATGTCGTGTGTGCCATTAAATAGCCTTTTATGAATAATTTCTTGCTGTGGAAACTTTTTATTTATAATATTAGTACACAAAAAATGTATTTTTTATTCATATATATTTGTTAAAGATTTTGTAATGTTAAGCTTCATGTTGCACAGTATTAAAACAATTTTTGAGAAATTTTAATGTGCTGTGGCAACCAAGAGCTTTCACTGTGGAATGTTGCCAGTTTGGTGATATGTTTCAATGTTTGCTTATAACAGGAATTGTGTATGAAAGTAAAAGACAATAAAATTTCAATATTCTTTTCTGCTTCAGAAACTTGAATAATTTGCTAATGTCTCAGAACTTCAATTCACATTTATGGCATTATTTTTTATTCTTTGATTCCAGGTTGAGTTCGTCATTCGCCGAGTGCCTTGCGGCCGTGTATTTGCTATACGCCGAGAAACAGAGGGCCAAAGTCTTGGCATTGTGCAGGAAGGTAATACAGCTGAGATTCGTGATGTACTTCCTGGAAGTCCTGCTGCACGATTTGGTCTTGTTCCCAGAGCTCCAACTTGTGATGGGCTTTCTCTAACAAATTGGATACTGACAGAAATTAATGGAAGACCCTTAAACTTGTTTTTTAAAGATGGGGAAGTTCGAGATAGACTAAATGCTGTTGGTAGAGATATTTCAATTTTGGTACAGCCTGCTGATTTAGTGAAACAACTTAAAAAGCAATTGAAAAGTATTCGGGGTTATAAGGATTATATTGTTCAGTAGGATTATAATTTATTCTTACTTGAAGTGTATTGACATCCAAAAGAAATGGCCTATGTCAAGACTTTATAATGTTGTAAATCCCATCTTAAAAGTGTTCTATTGGTTAAGAATCCGTAAAGATTACAAAGCAATGGTGAAATTACAGAAATTGACTCTTGGTGCCACAGGTAACATGTTGTGGTCTATATTTAGCCTTTGACTAATGAGGTTTGCAGTATTTGCTTTTTGTAAACAAATCCATTTTAACCATTCTTTTATAACTTTTCTGCATTGATTATGTGGGGAAGCTATTTATTCATTTTTGCAATCACACAATCCTTCAAAAATGCTATTTATTCAAACATGTATAAATTGCCGATACTATATGTCAACATTGTGCCTACCAAAGTAAAAGTTTGTCAAAGTTATCAGTAATTTAGTATTTAAATTAAATTTAATATTGTCAAGGATTTACCTTTGCGGTGGAAAAAATTGTCATTAAGAATAATATTCTTTTAAATCACAAGAATCAGGAGAAAAAAATCAGATAATTAGCAGAAAAACATCATCAGCAGAAGTTCACCCATCTCTTTAATTTAAAATCATGTTAAATCAAGTAAAAAGTGTGTCAGCATTAGACTGAATGCAATATAATGTCGAAGGTGCAATGACAATTGCAGATAATAATTCTTCTTCAACATCATCTTCCATGTGACAGTCTTTCCAACTACTTTCTTTTTGCTTCACACGTCTCGTTTTTTCTTAGATGACAGTGTGTTCACTCAGCTAGAGTAATGCTTTTATTAACATGACTGAAGAATTAATTTACTAACAGAAATGAAGTTTTAAAAATGAACTCACCATGATTTGATTTACTGCAATGTTGTGGATCCAATTTTTCCACATGTGGAACAACTATGTGGTCGAATTTGGGCAATGTTGAAGAATAGGGAAAACAGTGCTGCTGTTTTTGTTCCTTTAACTTGTGTAATCACTAGCACTGAGCAAGTCTATGTCATATACAGAAAGCTCTCAAAAGAGATCAGAGGCCAATCTCAAGGGATCCCTTGTGACCAAAGAAAGTTTGTTGGCATTAATGAAAGAAATCCAAGACTTAACATGTAGAACCATCTTTCTTTTAATGGTTTCTCACGCGGAGTTCGAGTTCCTATACTTCCTGCTTGACAGTGTGCCTCCACATGAGGGGAAAGGCAAAAATGACTGTGCTCGGTGAATTGATTCTTATTGTCAACTCCTGATTGAAAATAATAAGACGTTTCACTTTAGCATTAGAAGCTTTTAATTTCTAATTTACTGGAACTACTGCATAGTAAGTACACATGCATAAAATTTTACTTACAGCCACTATTTATTGATTGGAAAGGTTTCTTTCTGGAGAAATTTAGAGATAGACTTTGCTGTATGCATACCACAAAGACTAAGCATATAAAAAAGAGATTCAAAGTAAACAAAACACTGGAGTGAACATGAAGTGGCTGCTGTGTATGAGAATGATGTCTAGAGTGTAAACAGTAAGGACCGCGTTCTCTACAATTTCAGGGAACTTATTAAAAAAAGTCTTCCAGCGAAAGTTGAAAAAAGGAATAGCTTGGCAAATACTGTTCATATTTACTGCAATGATGGATCTGTTTATTTTCTCGCCCTTCATAGAGAATAAAGTATCAATTCTGTGCCGGAAAGCAGTGAATATTCGACAGAAAATCTCATTAGTTGATGGGCGAAAAGTGGCATAAAATCATATTCCATGTATAAAGTAATTACTTAACTTACATGTGCGTGTAGCCTGAATCTATGTTTTAGAGTGGCTTGAACTAAAATCAATTGATGGCAAAACGTCTGTGGTCAATTGCCCAGCCGATTTTCTTGAAATTGATATTCTTCGATTCATCGTGAAACCAACTTGAGACTTTTGCAAGTTTGTTACATACATATGTAGTAAGTTACTACATATTGAAACAGGATTTATCCACTTTCTGAATCTGTATGAAATTTTCTGTCGAAAAATCAGTTTATTACTACATCCTTACAGAACTTTCTCTGTACTACGTATAATGTGTATGTATATGAGAATGTCAAAAACAAAAGGGAAGGGGGAAAAAAAAAGACTTAAAAGACCGGAAACACTCTTCATATCAAGTTGTAATTTGCTGGAAGAGAATTCATTGTAAATATAGGGTTTATAATGGGACAAAGGAAAAATTACATTAAAGGCAGGAAAACGTAAAACGCGAAAGAATAATTACGGGGTTTTACTGTGCTTGTAAATTTCTGTGAAAAAATTATGTATACAACTTGTATAAAGTGCCTTTGGCCTATTCATTTCAAAATGATGGACTCATTCCGATCATTGTGACATCCATCAACATTTCATTTGTAAACCAAAGACTCACTTTCTGTACTAGTTATGTAAATAACTTAATTTGCAATTTAAAAATTGATATTATTGTGAATCGTAAAAAAAAAAAAGTACTGCTCATTATGTGGCTTATGTCTAAAGCAAAAAATTCGTGATTCTACTATGTATTATTGATTGTCTGTTTTATTGTTTTTCAAGAATTAACTTTTTTTTCTTCTTTTCTTTTTCACCTTTGAAAAGCAAAGTATCAAAGTACATCAAATGCTTTTCTTGTTTTGTCTCCAATTTCTTATTAACCACAAAACATCACAAAACTTGAGTATTGAGAGAAGAAGCGGTGACCTTGTTATATGATACAATTGTTCATTCTGTAATTTCATCTGCACAAAAAACAATAATAATAGTTATTGAAAATTAATTTTAAAGGGTCCTGTTATATTTCAAAGCCAAGTAATCCAATAGAGATAAGTGTCTATGGCCAATAATCTAGTAATAAATTGGTGCATCTGTACTTTTTACAGAGTATTAAAGCAGCTTTATTTAGAGAATACAAGCGTGGGATCTTAGGTAATAAGCATAATTTTTTGGGGTACTATAGAAATGGATATCAATCAAGGAAGTTGTTAGTCAAGTTTTCATTTTTTCAATAATTGCATGTATTTTGAAATATTTATTTATGACCTTTTATAGTTGTTTTTTGGTGTTGGCAGCATATTTTTTCGCAGCTAATAACACTAAAGCCAATGATTAAAATGGAACATGTGCTTGTTTTTATATGTATTTTTAATTGAAAGAGATTGTATTTATTTATATATATTATATCTTTATTTGAAAACTGTAATTGTGCAATGTCCTCAGTAAATTCTGAAATATGACTGAATATAAAATTGTGAGTAATATAGTGAAAGACAATGTGCAACAACAAAGACAGCTGCCATTGTTATATTGTACATAGTACTTTTTTAGATACAAAATAATATTTTACACTATTTTTATGCATATTGTACAGTTTCTTGACACTTTGTATCTATTTTATTAATTAATGCAATTGTATTTTTGATAGTTTTTAAGTGAAATGTTCATTGTCTAATGTATGGAGGTCTCTTTTCATATTGTTGTCAATGAGACACCGTGAGGTATGGAATCAGATGGTACTGTACTCATCTTGTGACTGAAAGAAAAGTATATTACCTTCTTCAGTGTAATTCTTTATGGATTTCAGTAATAGCGTTTTAAAACTTAATTATTTTTCTTGTCAATTGACTGTCATCATTAACATTAAATTAAGATAGTTTTATTTTTGTATCATTAAACATTTGAGGCATTCAGGTATAAATAATCCTCTTAATACATAGTAGGCCAAGGATAGAAGACAATTTTTACAATTTATTAGAAACCTTTGATACAAAACCCTGTAAGAATTCTTCTGCTGGTTTGGGAATTACTCACCAGTCCTGCATCAAACACATTTAAGTTGGAAAAAAAATAGAAGTTTGCAGGTTATGAGATAGGGAATAGATAACTACCACACACATTACAATCGCCCTACATTGAGCCCCTTAGGCTGTGAGCACATGAGTAAGTGCGCGAGTACTCCAGGCAGAGAACCAGAGAGAATATTGACAGCTGCGCAGCGCGCTCGTGTGCCATGCCTCATTTGTGTTGGTAAACTCGGCAACTGATCCCTTTTTAATATAGGTTAAAGTGTGTCCGTGTGTCTGTCCTAAAGAGGCAAGATGTGGGGTAAAAGAGGAGCCTGTTATGTTTCTGCTTTATGCATTCTACAAAGCGAGACCCATTTGAAACGTTTTATATTTTTTGAGATTAGGCTCTTCTTATGCTTGCGTTCCATATTCAGTGACAAATCAAATACAAGCAGTAATTCGAAATGTATGTAAAATTAAATTGAAGGAAAAGGGCCATAATAGTATTCTGTGGTAAAAGAAAAGTGAAAATTTGATTTTCTCTGAAAATAAATTGCAATTCACACACAGTACACACATGAATACAACTCGTGCACAGATGAACTGAGAGTCTATGTAGTCAATCAGCAGATGGTGGAACAAAATATTGACAATGATTTTTATTAATTTTCATATTCCATTTCACTTGATACAATGTCTCGATATTCTCTCCTTTATTATTTACACCTGAATGTCTCGTTTATTCAATGGAAAAATCTGAAATTTCACTCTCAAGTAATTTGACATGTGCACAGTATTTCTTTGCAAAATTCCATCGAACTTCAGTACATTATTTACAAATGTTAATTGATTATTCTTGTAAAGGAATGTGCTTTGAAGTTTGAGACTGAGAGGTATGTTGTGTAGGCAACAAGCTGGCAATGCATATTTTTGTGCTTGTACCAGCTGTATAAGAGTTTTTTTTTATTATGAATCCATTCCATTAGAGGTAATCTAGTTGTGGGAAGGTAGTGTTTTTCTCCCTGCCTCTCCTTGGCAGCTCAAAAATTAGTTCTCTGCTCAAGTTTGCTTCTAAGGAAATTGATCCAACATTTTAACGGTATTTGCCACAGAAAGTGGTCAGTATTTGTCTTCCCCATTGACTTTTCATTGCACAGCACCTGTACTTTTAGACTAAAATACTACTTGAGGAAGCATAACCTTCTAAGATGGATTTTATAATCAGGCTATTTCATACTCTACTACGTTTTTCTTAGGGGTTGTCCATAAATTACATTATGCTAAAGAGGGGGTTGGGAGGTTTGAGGCAACGTTATGCTGCTTTATTTAGGGTGTTATTTATTTTTTACATTTTTCAACATGTGCTGAAATTTCTTTTTTTAGTCTTATACTAAAACATTAAAATTTTAACAAACTTATTTGTTTTAAAAGCATATATAAATGCAAGTTACTAGTTATAAATTGTTACAATAAATGGAAATATTTTTTTATCAATTATTTATGAAATTTGTAAGATTATGAAGAAAATATTCACCACTGATGTGTAGTAGATTCTAGATCCATTTAAATTGGTGCTGTAATCTCTCGCCTATGGGTCATTTGTGATGGCATGTGTTCAGCTTACGATCAACAACTTTCTCGTCTGTGCATTCTTCCTTCTGCTTCAACTAGCCCCCAATCTTATTTTTCGGTGCATTCAGCATCGCCAAATAATTCCGACTTTATTTATCTTAAATTTAGTAATAAAAAAATAGTTTTTATTGTGCTCTAATTTATTTTCACTTCTTGCATTTATGGGGGGAGGGGGAGTGTAAGCATTACGTAATCCTTTAGGGGGGTTCAAGTACACATTACAGGTGCACGAGAGGGGGTATTCAAAATACTCCAAATTTGCATTATGTAATTTATGAACAGCCTACTATTTATAATTTATTGTTTCTGCTTGAATGGTTTTAGATTTTTTACTGTTTGATATGATTATTTTAGATATTGAACAACACTATTAGTGAAGAGTTGAATCTCAAAATGTAACGAATATATTCAAAGTTAAAGGGCACAACAAATTTGTAGTAATTGAAGAGCTTTCGAATTCAAAGTGTTTTTGAGGTTACAAGATAGCGAAAGTGAAATCGAATATCAGCTTTTTCAGTTACGAAGTTTATTATTATTAGATTATAATTATTAAAAAAAATACATACACCTAACAGTAGATCTGATTTGTGATGTAAGTCTGACAAATTGAAATGACGCCATGTATTAGCCAATTGTTTTTGCCAGTCTCTAGAAATTTGTACATTAAATCATCAATTTGGTCACCACTATCTTCATATTCACCAGTATAATGGTTTTCTTTTTCTGCTCATCACACCATACTAGGTCATTCTCTGACTTCTGAAGCTCCCCAAAAATGTGCATGTTGTGAAGTGTAAAACATTAAAAACAATTAATTTGAAGGCCTTATTGGAAGTCTTTTTTTGCTTATTCTATTTCAAAAATTTCACCTGCAATCTTCCCATACTTTCATTAATTCTGTTATTGCTTTTGTTCTGGGTGCAGGCTAGTCCTTAAGTGTCTCAACACTGTTGTGTATATGAAAATATTTTTTACCTTCGTGCCGTCAGATGTAAGAGGAACGATGAACTCAGAATCTCTGTTTAATACAATTGTATACATTGTAAACTTTTGAAGTCCATTAAAGGGTAATATTTTAATTGGTAGAACTGTGAGATGTGTCTTACATTAAACGGTGCCTCCTGAGCAATAACAAAATAGATAAAGTGAAGGAGTTAAGTGCACTTGTTATGTAAACAGGCAATTTTGTAATTTGGCTGTAGACTTACAAGTTTTCTCTTTTACTGTGTAAACTACATTTGTTTCTTTGTATTTACTGTCTAGTGAAATAAAGAGAGATATTTCATTGCTATTTACTCTTCAAAATATGTCCATTCAGGTGTTTTTAGTCTTGTAGACAATACTTTCAATGAAGAAATGAATGTCTTCCATTGGAGCAATAATTAACAATAAGTATTTTGAAGTTTCATTAAAACTTTTCCAAATCAATTAACAGTGCTATTGACAAAACAGCTTATGATATTTTATAATTAATGGATATTAATCATTGATGAAAATTAGCATCCAAGGCCCATTTGTTATCATGGGTACTTACCTTCTTTAAAAAAATCTTATTTTGCACAGTTGGACAATAAATTACTATTATCCATTTTTCAGTGCTTAGCAAATAGTAATTCATTAAATAAGGTGACAAAGCCTTGGGTTGTGTCAACTTCTAAAACGTATACTTTGCATAATGAAATTTGTAGTACAACAATGTTGAAGTATGTTTTCTATCAGGTTTGACTTGTATTCACATTTTTTCTTTGGGGGGAATCAGATTAATTGTTGTTGATAAGCAAAAATCAGAGTTGAGTAACAAGTCCTTAGGATGTAGAAGTGTTTCACTGTTTATTGTGGTTTCTTTACGGTAATGGCTTTTATAATAGTAATATTTCATTAGTTGATCCCTGATTACATTGCACAAAAGAAAGAACTGTAGAAAGTAATATGTATGCAGTACACAGAAAATCAAAAATCCCAAAAATATTCTTTTATATAATTCTTATTCTCTAAAACTGATGAAATGAGGAAGATTAAGAAATTCTGGAACAAAAAAAACTTTGCATTTAAAAATCATCAATCTTTGAACTTTAAACTTTCGCTTTGCCAACTACTATCTCTTGATGCAAGGATATCCTTGTATTGTATTGTAATTGTATTATAGTTGGTGTTGAAAATGTCATAATGAGCAAATAATGGTAAATAATGTGTTCATTCTAATAATTGTAATATATTAATAAAATTTAGTGTTTTATGTATAAAATCAGTTAATAAGAGCGCATGATAACACATCTAGGACCCTCTACTTTTGTTGAAAGAAAAAATTGTGATATTTAGTTATATGGAAAGTTCAAATTTCTTTCTAAATGAAAGTCCCCAGTGTTTTAAATGTATAGATTAGATAAAATCTAGGAAATCTTTTGGAAGGTTATTGGCTTAACTAGTAGAATTATGACTCAACTTCAAGATCTTGGCATGTCTGTAAACAGTCAGATTTATTATTAGCAAAGTAAGAGGCAGTATTTTTTTTCCTGTTGCACATTAAGAAAGATTTTCTAGCCTTTGCTCAAATACAGAGTAAGAATACAAATAAATGCAGTGGGAAGTTAAACCCTTGTTTGTATCCGAAGGGGAAGAGTACTTAAGTAAACAAGTAAATGAAGTATGTTTCTTTTTATTTGTTCAATTGATAAAAAATATTTGTTTGTACATTTGAAAAATGAAAATCATCAGTGCATTAAGCAAAGGTGAAGTAAAATTATTTCGTTATTCAATGCATACATTAGTTCTTTCAAAATTACAGAAAATATATTTATTTGAAACACTGGAAGTGTTCAGTCAGAATGGTGAAAGTCCCTATGTTTTTATTATAGTTTTAACTCCAAAATACATTTTTTAAATATTCAACCCATCCCACTGTGACTTTATTCCCTTATATCAATCAACTATACGTAAACTCTCCCTTTGAGTTTAATTTAAATATCCACTTAAAATAAGGTTGTT